GGGGGGGGGGGGGGACAGCTGAGGACACCAGAGGCCATTCCCGCTGGGAACAGCAGGACTTCACCCCGGGGATGAGCCCACTGCGGCTCCGCTCCCTGCCGTCGAGGACGGGCTCGGAAGCTTCCCGTGTCCCCCCGCAGGGAAGCCGGGTGTCCCCCCCCCTCATCAGACCCCTCCCCGCTCGCTGCCTCCCGAAGGATGGAGAATGAACAAGAGCAGCGCCGGGGAGAAAGTGCCCGTCAGCAGGATGCCACCATCATCTCCAGAGCCCCTTTCCATCGCTGCCTCCAGCCACCCCATCCCCCCCCCCCATCCCTGGGGACATCACGGACCCCCCCACACGCATTTCAGCAGCCCCCCCATTCATTTTCCTCGCCCTCACAAGCCCCGGCGTGGCCGTGGGGGCAAGTTGTGCGATGCCGATTCTCCGTTAACGAACCACCCCGTCAGGATAATTAATCGCAACCTCGTTGGCACCGGTTTTAGCAGCACCCAACCCCCCCGAATACCCCACAGGCTCCCTTCGCCTGCCCCTCTGCCAGCGGCCTGATGAAGATTGATTCACGGGCGGCGACAAGCACGGCACCTCGTTATTACGAAGCCCCACAATCCCATTAAAATTAAACCTCTCCCTTCTCTCCGCTCCAACGTCCCGGCGTCCCCCGGCCGCGGGTCCCGCTCCGAAGCGGGAGAGTTTCCAAAGTGCTGGCAGCGGCTCCAAGTTCTTCCCTCTCGCCCCGACTCGGGGGGACCGGCACCCCCAGAAACTACCCTTCGGAGGAGCCACCGGGATGGGAGACCCCGCCGGCGGGAGCCAAGTCGGAGGGAAGAGATTGCAGTTGGGAACAAAGCTCACACCTGCTGGAGACGCATCCCCAGGCGCTGACAGCACTGGGAGCCGCTCAGCATCCATCTCCCCGCCGCCACCCCGGGCAGTGCCGGGGACAAGGGGGGAAATTCCTTCCTCCTTCATTATTTTTCTTTTTTTTGGGGGGGAGAAGGGGTGGGGGAAGGTGGCAGCGAAGCATCCCCCGAGCCGGTCCCACAGCAAGGTCACCGCTGGGATGGAGCGGGTAGCGGTGCCAGCCACCACCTCGCACAAAGCCCCCCCCGACACGGTGCCCAGCGCCCCTCGCCTTACCAGCTGCAGGCAGCAGAATCCGACCAGCGTACATCTCCCATTGCATCTCCCCATGGCTTCCCAGCCGGAGCCTCGGATCTCCCCCACCGTGGCCTCGCGTCCGCCGTCCTCCAGCTCCTCACCAGCCTCCCCTTCTCCAGCAGAGCCTCCTCCCGGGGAGCATCAGGGGGGCACCGGTACCATGGCCCGCTCTCCAGCCTCCGGCCAGCCCCGGGACTTTCTTCACAGCAGCCCTGCCGTCTCCCGCACCCTGCCAGGTTAGCACAGAGGCGGGCTGGGCTCAGAAAGGGGCATCGCCCCCCTTCTCCGCCTTCCCCCCCTCTCCCCTTCGCCCTCCCCACCCCCCAACCCACCCCC